TGAGAAAACATCATCAATTGTTAGTGGAGATGAATATAGTAATTAACGTTATAAGTCACATTTTTCAGTACATGTGAGATGTTTCAGGATGAGGTGACGAAGGAATATTGTGAAAAGAATTATCCCACGTATGTCGTTATGCATTTTATTTCATAGTTTGAAAATATTTTTTTATTCGATAACATGTTTGGCAAAATGTTTTAATAATAATATAATATTAATGTTTAAACACATAGTAACACTTTACAGGACTTGCCCTTTTTGACACAATTTTACCGGACTTGTCGGTTATTTTCATTTTACCGGACTCGTTCGAATCCAGTAAAACGTCAAATTTGATACAGTATGAAATAAAATATATTTTGGTTAGTGTTTAACGATGTATAGGGTAGTTTTACAGTATTTGACATGATTAACATGGTAAAAGGGTTTTACTGGAGGACAGAAGGATATGACAATCGCGTTCTGGAGCTAGTAAAACCGTTACCTTGCATATATTGTTGAATATTTTATTTGTTCCTCACTTGTACATAATTATTATAAATTATGAAAACTCCAGAAATTCCAATATTTGAGGAAAAAAATTCTATGAGCTTTATATGTGTTGCCTTGAAAAGAGACGTCAGCACGTCACTTACTTTGTGGTTTAATTGTGTCATTTAGATTTATGGTTTCCGATTTATTGAAATGAATGTACTGCAAGCTATATTACTGATGAAGCAGTAAGTGCCACTGGAAGTTTGTTTCCTGAAAAATCTTCAACTTCGTACTTTTATATTTTCTCGACATTTCATGTCCTCTAGACACTGCCATAGCTAGGGAGCGGCCAGGGGATTCTGAGCCTCGCCTAGGGAAATTTTTGCCTCCTCCAGACCGAGACAAGTTATAATTAACCAAATGTGAATTATAACATCGAAAATCAAAATAAAATGCAATGTTTTATTTAATAAGCGGATGTCGAAGCAAAATCGCATTGTGATCTGTTTCACTCTCACGTGTACATACAATATGTTTTTCAGGACAGTTACACATCCGCTACTTTACTAGACATGACAGACATGATTAAACTGTTTCGTTATTTTACTGATTATATCAAGATTCAAGACGACTCACTTCGTTTTCTCGAAAATTTGGGAATACAGTACTTTTATTATTAGTATTACACTACATCTAACCAAATTGATATAATTGTGCTTGCAAAAATGTTGATGATATCATCACAAAATTTTATAATGGAAAAACTCACTAGAAACAAACGCGTAGCACGCTTCTTTACCTTTGCTTGAACATTACATACACATCTTTATTTTAACTTGTAAAGGTTGTCATAAAAAATAAAATTCGCAAAATCAAAAATTTTTCGAAACGGCTGGATTTGATGTACTGTACTTTATGGGCGAGGGAAGTTTGATTACTCGACCAATTTTTTTCGTTTAATTCCTTTTGTTTCCTGAACAACAACATTTGATTCGGAAGAACAAAGGAACTAAAACTTGCAAGAGAAAATTCGTTAAAAAATATAATCGAACATAATTTTCGGGATCTTTAAGAGGTACACGATAAGACTTTAGATTTAAGAAAACACAGTCAATCAATATTCTGTAATCCCGAAATCAATCCCGACCAGAATCTTACAAAATTTTAGAAAAATAAAAAGTTGTAGAATGCAATTTCGACATCTTTTGGTCTCATCAGTACACCAGTGTGTGCTTAGGGGAAGCACTCTACATTTTTCCTTGTGTTGTCTATCTTTTCGAATTAGCGATGCTTTAGCGTAATAAACCAAAGGGAGATTTTCCGTTAAAAAGGGGAAGTAGCTGTTTCCATCTACTGGTTTGGTTCAATTAATAAATAAATATATATTATATCTCGCAAATAAATTTAACCACCTCTACAAATTCTTTATGCGGCAATAATGCATCGCTTGGATTCTTGTCAAGTGACAACAGAAATGAGATGTTGGCAATACTGAAACAAAAATTGCAACACGTCTCGTTTCTGGTGCAACAGACAATGCACAAATATCAACGTCAATTCTGACATTAGGTAATTGTGTTACATTGTCGTCCTGAATACACTTCTTGATCAGACTAGTCCGTATACTGTTCTTTTAATTAATATTTAGAGATGTGCGTTAAAATTTTTTTCTCTTTATCTGATAGATGATATCGTGTTAAGTCACTCATTTTAATCTTAATCAAAATTTTAGCCCATTATTTATAACTTGGAGGGACAAGCTTAATCTACTACATTAGTTATAAGTTATAAGGCATATTTAGCGTCGATGTCGCGAACAAATATACATTTGTTTTAAATTGCAACATATGTTTATTTTCCAGGATTTTAATAGGTCCTTAAATTACGATTGCAATGACATAAAACAGTTGGATGATTGTTTCAATCTTAGTTGATAAAAAAAAAAATTATAAATGCGAAAAAAAATAGAAGTTGAGTAAAATAAAAATTATCACTTTATTTTACAAAGAATTAGTAATATATATCTGTTTCAAAAACAATAATTCAAGCATATATTGGAAATGTCCTTCACGCTGAACTACTCAATATTACGCGTTAAAGAGGCTCAAACAGTCCTAGTTTTTAGTCTTAGAAATCGCGCAAGCGTCGCAAATACCCCAAATCTTTTATATATACTTAATAATAAATCTAAGGGAGCTACATGTGGAATGTCAGCTACTCATCCAGTAGAGCTTCTATTCCGAGCTAATTTCCACCATAAATATTTGTCAGAATTAAAAATTCTACCATTTTCGACTGGCAACAGAGAAAATTCTTGTGTTAAAAATTAAGAATAGGACTAAGTATAATTAGGTCACTCAGATAATTTAAATTATTTACAGTTAAAATTATTACAATAATACACAGAGGTTTGGGTCGCGACGCCGATAAAATATATGTCATATTTTAATGTACCAAATTAAGCTTCCCCTTTAAGCTAAAAACAATGGCGTTTACAGAATTTCAATATTTCTATCCGTTCTCAAGATATAAGGTCGTGGAAATTTATCTGAGACACTTGTGTACGAAAATCATTTATGGATCCACATCTCCGCTAAAATTTTCTAATGATTTCAATTTCCGCACAAATGAAATTACTACGTGAATCTAAAAAGATGTGAATTTGAAACTAAAATAACTGCCGATACCTTGACTCTTGACTACATCCTTATGAACTGTGGGAGACATAAAAAAAATATATCTACATTGAAAAAAAAATGCTTTTACCGAAGTTAGTAGCAGATATAAGATATATGGAACAGTTTGAACGAAGTGGAAGGATTAAAGACATAATCCTCAAAAAACTCAGGACTCCTAATGAAAAACACTGATTATTTATAATATCTACAATTTAATGCAAAATTTATTGAATCCTTTATCCACATAAGATCTAGTTTCCCCTGTGTCAGTCAGAACTTTGTTTTGGGGCTTTTAAAGTAAAAAATGTTACTCATATCTTCAAAAAAAGTTTCCAAAAACATCAAGAGTGATTGCAACGCTATATCTACCATACCTACGGAAATACTTTTGATGTCAGTATATTAAATCACGTTTGACTAATTTCCTTGAAATTAATAATCTTCTGTGTACTTGACTCTTGACTTCTTACTCCACTGTTGAGGCCGTTTTATTTTTAATGAATAAAGTAACTGTATGTAAATTATAATAATCAGTATATAGCTATGAATCAACCTGTAAAATTTTGACAGCGTCTGTGCTAGGGTTTACACAAGTGGCACTTCATACTGTACAAAATTTCCAATTTTATGTTCATTGCTGATGGCACTACACATTACAGTAGTGGCAAACGTCCTGACGCCTTTTATAAATTCAACTTACAACGATGTCACTACTTGGTTTCTGTCTAGTAAAATGTTTTTAAATAAATAAAGACAGAACTTATTTAATTTTCTTTAGAAAACTTATTATACAACATATTGAATCTGTAAACCTATTGAATGTTAGATAGTAAATTGTAATGAGAGATTAATTATTTTATGAAAAAACTTGGATGTAAAGATTTTGAATTATGTGACATATCTATTCCACGGGTTTCTTTTATTTGATACAACCCCTGTAAATTTTTTATTTTTTTAAGAAAAACATATAGTTCTTTGAGCAAATTTGTATCATTTTAAAAGATCACTTACGTGAATAAATAACATGAGTGTCAATTTTTCAATCTACTAAATTGTCATCAATAAATATGAATTTTTCGTCTATTTTATTGAAGAACTTTTTAATTTTTTAGAAAAATCAATCTTTCCATTTATGAAAAAATATACCTAGTGTTCCATAAAAAAAAATAAAGTTGACGTCATCATGTAAGGTTGCCATCACATAGATCTTTTAAAATGATACACATTTGCTCAAAGAACTACAGGTTTATCTTTAAGAATAAAAAAGTTACAGAGGTAGTATCAAATAAAAAAAACACCGTGTGTATCTGCAATTGATTAATTATAATTTTTAAAAAATATAAAACACTTCAACATAATCGTAGCACTTGATGTAAATATGCATTTTAAAACTTCTTAAAATAATAACTATTCCACATTATTTTTTAATGCTCTATTAAATATATTAACTGAAAACCTTTCTTCGTTTGAACCATAGGTAAGTCGTTGTGACATTATTCTGATGTGCATACTGACAGTTTATATTTATAAACAAAAAAAAGAGAAGGCGGACCTCTTTGGACAAAATGCACTGATTTCAAATTTGCATCAATAGCCTAAGCAAAATAATAATGACTTGTCCAGACATATTCTTTAAAAGAATATATGAAACAAAACTTTACAACCAATAAATGTCGGCTATAAAATGGTTATACGAGAATGAATTGTTTTTAAATTTTCAAGTTGTAACTTTCCATTCGCAAACAAGCAAAAACTTCGGAAAATAACCTGGTCATCATCGATGAGTTGCAAATAATATATTTTAGTTATAGGTACTACAATACTCAATAGGTTCGAATTGCTTACCAAGTCATCAGCAACTATAAAAACCACATTTGGCTGCCCTGTCGCGCACTGTATTTTTTTGTGTAAATCACAAAACAAAACACAACTGATAATCAACAACCACTGCGATCTCGACAACATTGCAGACCAACGGCAGGTGTAAGGCGAGATGACCAGGACAGGACTAAATCCAGAAATAAACCATCGGCTTAATTTATACATTTTTATCTGATGATCAATTAAAGTAAGAATCAGCCACGGCCAACTTCGTTACCATGTTCAACTGCCTATGAAGTTCGTTGATTTGCGGACATTCCATTCAAGATAAACAAGTTTTTTATTGTTTCGAAACACCATCTAATGATTCCATCTGAATTTTTAAGCCTATTGTAGGTGAATTCTTAGGTATTATGAGAGTTTATGAATGTTTACATTTCAGCGCGATCTTATCGATTCCTGTAAAGTTTTTCCGCAACTAGGAAGTTAAGAAATTTAAAGAAATTCGTCGTGAAAAACTTATTATCGTCGGAAATATCCGCAGAGGCAAGTATGCGTGAAAAAGATGAAGAGGTGTTAAATCCTCACTTCTTTACTAACGAAGTGTTACACTAACATTACTAAATGGTTCAATTAGGAAATCCCTAATTATGTGAAGAAATGAAGGTTATAACTTATCCACATGCAAACAGTTTTTATAATGTAATTTAACTTGATTTATTCGAAGAAGACAACAATAATCTGAACGAAGATTAAATTGTGGGTTATATTTCTTTTTACTTTTTTCTCTCATTTGGTATCTTGCTGCGGTACACAAACATTAAAGTGAAATATTACCAGATTGTTATCAAGAAATTATATCATTTTGTTTAATTTCGTTGGGAAATAGTCGATCAGGTTTGTCATTGTTACTAAATTAAAAAATGTCCCTGTAAACAGTTTTACGTTGTAATTAATAAAATTGGCCTTGCAAAAATTAACACAAACCCTCAGTGAACTTTTGTATTGTTAATTATTTAATTTTAATTCTGCAATAAATGCATAATAAATCAATCATAATCTCAGTAGATTTTATAAAAGGTCATTTACTTTAAAGACGCCGTATTGTTGAAATAGCACCACCCATTTAAACACTAAAATGAAAACTAATCTGTTTACCACAATCAACAAAGTATTAGTTTACCAGAAAGAGTCCGTGACAATTTTGAACTCGAGAATATTATATTAAAAAACAAAGTTCATAAGATTTTATTTTAGAGCACGAACCCCAACAATAAACGAGTCGTTAGGTGACTTTTTTAAAAGATGAGTGGTCTAAAATGTCTTACGAAACGTGTATTTTATACTATTTTTTCCAATTCGCACCTCTTTTCCAGTTTAAGACAAAAATAGGAATTTTTTAAATTTTGGGGAATCTTGTCGTGGTTGGTACGTCAAAAATATCAAATTGTAATAGTTGAAGTTTAAATTTTCACAATAATAAATTCATACTAACAATGCCTGAAGCTGAAGAAAATCTTACGCCCCCGGAACACGGAAAATTTCTCACAGTAGCCTCCTATATGTTTGGGATCAGCAGTGTCTAAATCTAATCTTGTCCGGCCGCTCCAGACTCTTATAGGTTCAGTGAATTACTAAGTGCGCGATTTTCGATATCTCATTAATTATTATTATTAGAGATACAAAGAAAAGCTAAAGACCAAGTTGTACGATTCTTTAAAGACTATACTCTAAAATTATTTTTAACTATACAGTGTCCTATTTCTAAGGCGTAGAACACAACTTAGTTTTTTATTATTATTATTATTAAGACCCACCACTGACCCGGAAATGACCGGCATTCAGGCAAGACTTCTATCATTACGGGTACTAAGACCAAGTAATGATATGCTTTGATTAGATTAACAGAACAACTTTCGAGATTCTAGAATTACAGCATACAAATTAGTCTGCTATTATTCTCTAATCTCACCCCATCCCCAAAAGTCAAGCGTAACTACCGATCATTTATCCGCGCATCACATGAAAAGTGACCTACACTACTCTGACCTACTGGTGCTAATCTAATCTGACTGACATGATCAGACTGTTCAAGAAACCTACGAACAATATGACATGTTCCTAACAAAACAACTTTTTGAATTTTGACAATTATTGAATCATTCAAGTGCAAAGACTTTAAATTCTCAACTAAGCTATTTGGAACTACACCTACATTAGAGATAACTAGGGGTAGAATTGAAATTTTTTTAAGATTTAACATGGATTTCATTTCTATCGATAATTGTACATATTTGGAAATCTTGGTGTCGTATGTTTGAATAATGTTGTTTGTGTTAGGAATAGCAATGTCAATGAGAATGGCTTCGTTCGTGTGTTTTTTGATAAGTATGATTTCTGGTCTGTTAGCTGTAATGTTTAAGTCTGTAAGTATTGTGCGATCCCAGTATAATTTGTATTTGTTATTTTCAAGGAATGGAGACGGAATGTAAGTGTAATAGGGTGTCGTATCTTCGATTAAGTTCATAAGTGTTGCTAATTCTTTGTGAATGATTTTGGCTGCGTTGTCGTGTCTAGCTTTGTAATCAGTTTGTGCTAGGATGCTGCAAGAAGAGATTATGTGCTGGATCGTTTCAGGTTTTGCTTTGCATAGGCGACAGCAGTCGTTTTTTATGTTCGGATCTTTGATGATGTATTTTCTATAATTCTTGGTATTGATTACTTGGTCTTGAATAGCAAACACAAATCCTTCTGTTTCGGCATACAAACTTGATTTTTTTAACCAAATCAATGACATCTTCTTATTGACATGATTTTCTTCTAAGTCTTTGTAGAATTTTCCATGTAGTTGTTTTTGTTTTAGCCCACTTATTATTTTATCTATTGTGTGGGGGGTGTGGATTTTATTATTATTATTATTATTATTAAATAAATGCGTTCGGGCAGAGGTTAAACCTGTTATGCCCGCGCAGCCTATTATTTACAAAACTATAATAAAACTAACATTATAAAGTTACTCAGTACAGTAATGGTCGTAGTTAATTTTAAATGACAGTACAGAATTACTTAGAACTACATAGTCCGGTAGTGAGTTCCAAGGATCAAAAACTCTATTTGACAAAAAGTGTTGTCTACTCCGGGTTTTGAAATTCTCTTTTTGAAGCTTGAGTTCGTGTATCAGGATTGAGTGAAAATAGGTGCCTAATAGGTGAATTTGCAGTTGTTAAAGCCTGAAAAGTTGTAATAACATCTCCTCTTGTTCTTCTTACAGAGAGTGAAGTTAGGTTCATGGTGGCTAGTCTATCCAAGTATTGCGGACGATTTATACCATACGGCATTCGGGTTACTCTGCGTTGAGTAGATTCCAATAGTTTCTTATCTCTTTCCAGAACAGGAGTCCAAACGTTATTTGCAAATTCTAATATTGGGCGAATATAAGTTTTATAAATTTTTGCTGTCGTTTCAACATTAGGTTTGACAAAAGTTTTAGATACTAAATAAATGATCTTATTTGCCTTAGCAATAATACGAGTTAAATGCTCTGACCACGATAGACTTGATGTAATCAACACCCCTAGGTCCAGGTACTCATCACATGTCGAGAGTTCTACGTTATTAATAAAGTATCTATGCCTAGGATTATTTTTTCCAATATACAATAATTTGCACTTACTGGTATTGAGAGGAAGTAACCAATCTTCACACCATCGTTCAGTTATAGTCAAATCTCTTTTTATTTTCTGATGGCCAGATGAAATACCATATATTTTTAAGTCATCTGCATAAAACGCATGAGGAGACTTTAATAGACCACTGAGATCGGCGACATATGTAATAAAAAGAAGAGGGCCTAAAATGGAGCCCTGAGGGACGCCACTTAAAACTGGAGCGGAAAGACTAAAACAGTTTCCGACCTTGACTTTGAAAATACGATCAGTGAGGAAAGATTCAATCCACCGGAGAAGAAGACCTCTAATACCGTAATGTTGAAGCTTGAATAAAAGCCGCCGTTTGGGCACCCGGTCAAAAGCTTTGGAGAAGTCAAGATATGCAACATCTACCGAGTTGCCACGATCCACCTCCAGTGACCAATCCGATAGACAGCACAGCAAGTTGGAGGAAACAGACTTCCCTGCTACGAACCCATGCTGCTGTGAAGGGATTATCTTATGTTTCTGCAAAAAGTCTAGCGTTTTCTCGTAGATTATAGCTTCCATTGTCTTCACCACCAATGAAGTTAAACTAATCGGGCGGTAGTTGGCCGGATCAAATTTGTCGCCTGATTTGTAAATCGGTTTAACTGTTGCAGTCCTCCAATCTAGTGGAAGAACTCCTGACTCCAAAGATTGGTTCATTAAGAAACTCAGGGGTTTACAAAGTGAGGTCGCGCAGTTATTTAAAACATTTGCGGATATATTATCTGGGCCAAGGGAGGTAGCTATATTTAATCTTTTTAGCCTTTCATAAACCGCAGTTTCAGTAACAACCACATTTGTAATTTGATCGGAGTTAGACGGTGAGTAAACGGTAGATGAGACTGTGGGAGGCTCAGACACAAATGCCTCAGAAAATGACTTGACGAACATATCGGAAATGTTTTCGTGACGATCTATAAGAACCCCTTTAGAATCGCGCAATTGTGGAGTTCTGACAGGGCCTGATAGAGCACACCTGATATACTTGTAAAAACTTTTAGGATCTTTGTTTTCACCAATGGTTTTCTCATATTTACTTCTGGCATCTTTGATAACATTTGACAGCCAATTTGAGAATACTCGATGTACATTATAATCCGCCTGACTACTTGTTCTTCTGAATCTACGCCATAAACATCTTTTCCTGTTGATAAGCTTAAGGATTCTATTATCTATCCATGGCTTTTTATATGACTTTTTCAGTGTTATCGTTTTAGACTTAGATTCAATTAAGTCGTTCAACTTTTGCTTAAAAATGTCCCAATTGTCACATACAGAAGAGCCGGTGAATAATGATGACCAGTTTAGTTTATTTAGTTCATTGTCCAGTGCACCAAAGTCGACAATTCTTTTTTGGTATACCATAACCTTGCTATTCCATATAAAACACATCTGTAATTCCGCCTTCAAGACCGAATGATCTGATTTTCCAATAGGGTCTAAATATTCTAAATTGGCTAGTAAGTTTTCATCCGACGTTATAAGAAGATCTAATGTAGAGGGTTGTTGCTGCGATCTATATCGAGTAGGTTGATCTACTAACTGCGTTAAGTGACTATCGATGAGTAA